TCGATAAGTAGTGAGACTCCGGGACAGCATCATACTCCGAAAAATTAGATTTGTGCATTTTTTGAAAAGACCAACCTGAAACCTTCTGCTTTTTTCACGAATACGCGAAATCATGTCACACATAGGGTCTCCAGGTGACTGCTCTGATGAAGGCTGCATCTAGAAAAGTTAAACAAATAAAACGGGTATGGCTTGCATCTCCACTGGGACTCGAATGCACAGTACTGTGGAATGCGATTGTTCACTTGTTGCCCTTTGGACTTCCAGCCACCGCTAGATTAGCTCTTGCACAGCTTTTGCGACCACTCTCCCTCCTGAAGGCCAGTCATGATCCGTGCAAATGATACGGCGTTCGACGCGGTGCGTATTGAAGCACAGCTAGGAGACCCTTTCCCCACCAGTGATGCCATCCTTAGTGTGCCACAACTGGCCGGAAACCTGATCTGGCTGCGCTCCAAGCCCTATCAGACGCCCTATCGTTTGCAGGGATCATGAAACAGAACCTGGAATGTGGGTAGTTATTCCATGTAAAGGCAAGGCGGCGGAAACCGAAATTGCAGTAGGGTCACACGCGCGACATTCGCGCCTTCACCTGATTGGTGGAGCGTGCGTTTTGCCAAGTCCACTAGCTAGTAACTGGTCTACGCACGTCACGGCAACGTGAACTAAATGACTTGACTCCTACAAGAGAATCTTTCAAGTCGTGCAGTCCCACTATCGAAGGTTTGCATAACAGTGCCATGAGAGGACCGGTTTGCTGCATAACAGGGCCATCAGAGCTCATCGCTGCGCGTTTCCGGGAAGGCCAAAGAAAGGCTGAAAAATAGATTTATGGTCCAACTCCTCCGCGCGAAAAAACTTTGAATTTCTGCAATTTCATTTTCTTGGTTATATAGAGTGAAACCTTTTGTCCTACCACAAACGCGACCAGAAACACCAGTCTTTCGTATAACATCAGAAGAGCTTTATCCGCTGAGTTCGTCGGGAACTCGTGGTACTTTTTTTTCCTTTTCTTGACATTCTTAGAAGTCCGCAGCGAAAAAAGGTTCTACTTTTGTGGTCCCACATGCACCTCTAGAGCATGCAGCAAGCCATTTGAAACTGGGCTCCACGAATTGAAAGACCCCGTTGTTGGATAGGGCAAGAAAAAACTTATAAGTGTTTTCAAGATGTACCTTGTAGTTCGACTTGTAGCAACGCTCCGGATACGTGGGCACAATAACGGACAACGCCTGTTAGCCACGTCTAAAGTCGCCGATTTCAATAGAACAAGTTACAATGCTTTAGCACGTTCCGTATTGAACTGATCTCGAACAATGTTCGCAGCTTATTCGATAGAACAAGTTATGATCCATTACGGCACCGGCCCAATGGGTCTTCCTAGCTAAAGCTAATACCAACTAAGCCGTAAGCAAATCACAGAGATAAAAACGAATCAGGAGCTCGAGAAAAGCACAGCTTTTTAATTTGAGGCGTGCCCAAGGGGAAGGTACATCTGTAAGCGTTTGTCAGCATACCAAATCCAGTAAAGTGTATAAATGTGGATACCGGACCATCTTGTCTACACCATGTAAACCTCGTCATTATCGCCAAGTATCTTGTAAAATACTGCCAGACTTGTCAAAATGACTAGACAAGATTTGGAAAAAGTGGAGAAATGGTTTCCCCAATGACACTAGTAAAACCTTGTCAAGACTGACAGGAGTTTACAGAGTAATTGAAAGGAACTTACACAACTCGCAGGGTCTGACACGATTGTGGAAATAGAAGAAAAAACACGACTTGAAGACACTCGTTCAAAAACTCATAGGTCTTGTTCCCCCCCCCCCCCCAGGTCATTAGCTCCTAAATTTTGGAGGATACACATACCTTCAAGTGGGAGTTCAAGAGCGAGAAGTCATTCGATCGATATGAGCAGTTCAAGGGGCAAGATAGTTCGTTTTTGAAATGAATTCGTAACACGTGGCTCCGCCTGAAATCATACTTATTCGCTAGAGAAAAAGACAACGAGCTTGCTTACAAGGGAAGGATGGTAGGTCGAAGTGGCCATTTGAAATGAAATGTATACCGGCTGAAAGGTCTTCGGACGGGAATTACGAAACCGTCTTCCATATCTGCTGCGGACCTCCCAGAAAGAAGTTACGGAGCTTTTTAGGGGAGAATACACTACAAATTGGCGGCGTAAGGCTGACGAGATCGTGGCAGCATGGCCGAGTGGATACGTCGTAGGGCTCACGGATGCGTGGTCGAGGGTTTGGATCCTTGATGCGTGTGCCCTTTTGCATTTTTTTTTAAGCGATCCCTATGCACTTCAAAGCTATTCTGTATAATTCTTG